GGTTCTTGTGGCAAAACTGTTTTTTTCATTAAACAATTATTATATAGCAACTTGTCTTTAATGTCTGAAAAAAACGAGGTGAAATTCATCTAGTGTTATACGTTAAATATTGTGAAATGTTTTGATAAACCGAACGTTTTCGTTTCATCCTCCGCTCTGGCCCCGGGAGCACGCTGCTTGACCCCCAAGCTCTGACAGCTCATGAAACGCCTGCCGTCCTGGGCTCCGAGCGCGGACCATAGACACGCGACATCACGTCTCTCTCCTCTCTGCTCTTCGCAGGCTCACTCTCTATCTGCTACGCGCGTCTCCATCGGCTTGCTCGCGTCTCTCTCTCTCTGCTCGCGTCTCATACTCTCTCTCTGCTCGAGTCTCCTCTCTCTGCTCGCGGCCCTCCGCTTCTCTGCTCGCGTCCCTCTCGCTCTGCTCACTCTCTTTCCTTTCTCTGCTCGGGTCTCGCTCTCTCTGCTCACGTCTCTCTCTCATCATGCGGTATCTCTCTCTCTCTGCTCGCATCTCACTCTCTCAGGCTCACCTCTCTCCTCTGCTCTCACGCTCTCTCCTCTCGCGTCTCCCTGCTCACGCCTCTCTCTCTCGGCAGCGCATCTCTCTCACTGCGCGCATCTCTCCTCTCTGCTCGCATCTCTCGCTTCTCTGCTCGCATACTCTCTCTCTGCGCGCCATCTCTCTCTCTTCTGGCCTCGCGTCTCCTCTCATCTGAGTCGCCAAGTCTCTCCACGGGCTCGCGTCTCTCTCTCTCTGCACCTCTGCTCTCTCTCTGCCGCGGTCTCACTCCTCTCTGCTCACCCTCTCTCTCTCTCTCTCTCGGCTATACACCTCTCTCTCATCTCGGCTCACGTCTCTCTCTCTGCTGCTCACGTCTCTCTCTGCTCACCTCTCTCTCTCTCTCCTCGCTCACACGCCTCTCTCTCTCTGCTCGCACGTCTCTCTCTTTCTGCTCACTCTCTCCTCTCTCTCTGCTCACGGTCTCTCTCTGCTCACAGTCTCTCTCTCTCTCTCTGGCTCACCGTCCTCTCTCTGCTCGAGCTCTCTCTCTCTGCTCGCATCGCTCTCTCTGGCTCGCGTCTCTCCTCTCTGCTCACGACTCCTTCTGCTCACCTCTCTCTCTCTGCTCACTCTCTTCTCTTCTCTCTGCTCACGTTCTCTCTCTCCTCTGCTCACGTCTCTCTCGTCTCTGCGAACGTCTCTCTCGCCTCTCTGCTCACAGTCTCTCTCACTCTGCCACGTCTCATATCTCTCATGCTCACGTCTCTCTCTGCTGCGCGGGTCGTCTCTCTCTCGCTCAACGTCTCTCTCCTGCTCTCTCTCTCTGCTCCCGTCTCTCTCACTCCTGCTCACGTCTCTCTCTGCTCGCTCTCTCTCAGACCCCTTGCTCACGTCTCTCTCTGCTCACGTCTCTCTCTGCCTCACGTCTCTCGCCTCTCCTGATCTCCGTCTCCTCTCTCGGCTCACGTCTCTCTGCTTCGCGTCCTACCTCTCCTCTGCTCGACACGGTCTCTCTCTGCTACCAGTCTCTCTGTTCGCCGTCCTCTCTCTCTCTGCTCACCGCCTCTCCTGCTCTCTCTCCTCCACTCGCGGCCTCTCTCTCTCCTGCGCACTATCTCTCTCTGCTCGACCCTCTCTCTCTCTCTCTCTGCTCCACGCCTCTCATCTCGCTCACTCAGTCCTCCCCTCTCTGCTCACGTCTCTCTCCTCTCACAGGCCTTCTCTCCTCTCCTCTCTCACAGTCTCTCTCTGCGCACGACGTCTCGCTCTGCTCACGTCTCTCGCTCTCTGCTCACGTCCTCCCTCTGCTCCGCGTCTCTCTCTCTCTCTCCACCGGTCTCTCGCTGCTCTCTTTCTCTGCTCGCCGTCTCTCTCTCTCTGCTCACGTCGCCTCTGCTCCGCCGTCTCTCCTCCTCCCTCTGCTCACGTCTCTCTCTGCTCACTCCTCTCTATCTCTTGCCTCCACGTCTCTCTCTGCTCGCGTCGCTCTCTCTATGCTCACGTCTCTCTCTGCTCATCTCTCCTCTGCTCACGTCTCTCTTCGTCTGCTCACGAGTCTCTCTCTCTGCTCACTCTCTCTCTCTCATCTCTCTCTGCTCCGCGTCCTCCTCTCTCTGCTCACGTCGCTCTCCTCTCTGCTCACGGCTCTCTCCTGCTCGCTTCTCTCTGCTCACGTCTCTCTCCCTCTCGCTCACGTGCTCTCTCTCTCTGCTCACGGGTCCCTCTCGCATCCTCTGCTCACGTCTCTCTCTGCTCTCTCTCTCTGCTCACGTCTATCTCGCTCTGCTCACGTCTCTCGCTCTCCTCATGCTCACGTCTCTCTCGCTCTGCTCCACTTCTCGCGCAACGCTGTTCCTCTTAAAGATGTTGTTTGGATGCGGAGCAGAGAGGCCGCAACTAGATTGGCTTGTGAATTAGTAAAAGAAGCTAGTTTTCTCTTCATCTTTTAACAGGCATGGGAATTTGGTGAATGTTATTGCTATCGGTGATTAAATGCTATGTTAGTTTAATAAATAGAGTAATCTGACATTTAAAGTCAGTGGCCTCCCCAATCACAATCCTCACCGCACGTCACTGTCTGTCTGCTATATGCAACTGATCCTTGGAATGTTCCCTCAACCTACACTTGTTTTTAGTTTAAATGTGTAGGCTAAGCTGTTGTTCATCTTTGAAATGTTGATGATGGCCATTTTATGGCTATTAAAAGCGATCTGCCTCTGCGTGTGCCTTTACCAGCCTGCCGGCACTAGAACCACCTACTGGATTAGCACCCTCTCAGCTGGCTCGCGCCGGATGATTGACAGATAGCATGATACGTGATAAGATTGTAAATCAATGGCAACGCCGGCTGCTGGAAAAGGCAAAACCTAGGCCTTCCAGTCCCTGGCTGGCACAAGCGTGTTGGGTTTTTTGTGTTTGGGAAGGACCGGGCTGTGTGCACGTTATTCGGTTGATAATGTTGTGTGCAGACTCAAAGTCAAGTGTTAAGCGTCCATTGAGAACGAACACGAGAAGAACCTTCAAAGACCAATCAACAAAGTCGAGGTCAATTAAATGTGCTCGTGGTCCAGAATATGAAACAAGCTTGCTTCCTTTTCAGGGTTTTTACCACTGCTCAAAAAACACGTGACAGAAAGCTGCTCTCCCGCCCCCACACGAATAAACAAAGCCAACCAGCCACCCCAGGCCCCTCTGTTTATAAGTCATTCCTAAAGTTGCAAATCATTACATGCAAATGTTAGCAGCCAACCATCCTTCTTTCAAAAACAGGGGGCCAATTTCGCTTTGGTTTGCTATGTTAAAACAAGCGCTAAGCAGACATTCATCAGCCAACGCCATTATATTTGTAAAACACGGAGAAAGAAAGTGTACCCCACCCATCAGACATTTGGTATTAGCAATATCGTTTTTAAACAAGTTGTACTACAGTCCTAGCAACTAATCATTTCAACCTTCGCACAACACGCCAAAACACGCAGAAATTCAAGATTTGGGACAATAATAAACATTTCCGTACCCTGGCATCATGTTTAAAAAAAAGATATGCGCATCAGAAAATGTCATAAGCGGAAACACCGCAAACTTCGAATCATATATATTGATAAGCCTCTGAATTTATGCTTTTAATTTAGTTGTTATAACACTCACCATTAATGGCGACTGTTCATGGTGCTGGACTGTATAAAATACAACTCAAAAATTGTGCACCTTACTCAGATTTTTGCATTCACATGACAGAAAATTGGCCATTTGGAAATTAGAACAATAGAAGGCCATGGCCTGTATATAGTACAACAAAAACCAAGATAAAGATAAAGTACAAGACACACAATGGTTCTTTGAGTGTATATCTGCTAACGATTGGTATCCGTTGTTTTAGGCTGACTGACCCAATATATCCAATATATAATGTTTCCCTGTTTATTGTTCTGCCTGAATCTACACCTGTTGTGAAAAACTTCCACAATTGGCCTGTGGCAAAGATCCCTGCCTATTGCGTCCTGATTTTCGACACTCACGTTCTGACGTTTTCTGAATGAAAAGTTACAACTTATTTGATAGATTCAGTTGATTTGGACTTGAAGTTGTAGTGAAACTTCTAAAGTTTCAAGTGGCTCACAAATATTTCCCGTTCAACGGATAATTTTATTGTCAGTGAATGCAAAATCTGAGTAAGGTGAACAATTTTTGAGTTGTCCGTATTTTACAGGTCACCGTAGCGATAGTGAGGTCAACTTATCTGCGTTTGCTCATTTAAATATGTGTTAGGCCACAGCTGCATTCAACATTTTGAACAAACAAATTTGACCAAAAAATCACTGTATTTATTTTTACCAACCGTAATCGTCAGGGCCAAGCAAAGTAGCCTTTATATTCTCTGGCTCAGTCTGAGAAACATTAAGTATCCCCACCTGTTCTCTAGTGTGGGTGCGGCACGGTGGCTGAGTGATAGCACTCTCCGCTTCGGGACACGAAGTTCCTGGGTTCGAATCCCGTCGGGAACAGGGCCTTTCTGTGTGGAATTGGCATGTTCTCTGTGTCTGCATAGGTTTTCCTCCGGGTGCTCCGGGTTTCCCAACCCAAGTGACCCTTGGTCCAGAAATGCGCTATATAAATACAACATCATAGATCTTGTAATTGGGGGCTAATTTTAAAACTCAAAATATGTAAGTTATTGTAGGGGACAGTAAAATCTGAACTTAAAAAAAGTAAGTTTTTACTGACTTGACAATTTCCAGTAACTTGAAGTTAAAACACTTAGGTTGGCAGAACTTGAAAAACTTAACTGACAGACACTTAATAAGTGTATTCTTCAAAACTTGAAGAATTAAAGTTAATGGCCTTCAACTCAACAAAGTCCATGCGCAAGCTGGTTGGCCTTTGAAATTTTGGAGTTGGAACTAACTTATCTTTGTTAACGAACAGTGTGCATGGACATAGTCCAATTAAATTAATGGACAATTGCTACCTGCAGCCCCCCCCTGGAACCGGACATGCAGGTGCGCGGTCGGCCCGAACCCGCAGTCAACCCGCGGGTCCCTGCGGTTTCGGGCGGTTGGATCCTCAAAAATATGAGTGCATGTCAGTGGTGCGGAGGGGTCGGGTCAGAAAGCTCCTGAATCCCTATATAATATTATTTATGTGAGGTCCACGGTATGGGAGTCCCTTGATACATTTGCAATCGCGCAGGAGGCTGTTAATAAACAAAAAAATTCATGCTGACAAACAGGATCGCTCCTTCCTGACACCCGCGCTAACCTCAGAACACTCCAGTTCCGAGGACAGACGTGTGATCTACAACAGAGGCACCGAGACTGATGACGGTGTGGGCCTCACAGCATGAGGCCTAAAGCAGGGGCCTCATTTACTTAATTAGCAATGCAAGACGTCGTGGAAACGCTGTGGTGAAAAGATGTCGCTGTCTGACTCACTTTAGTCATTGATTCTGATCCTAAAAAAAGCTAAATAACCAGAAAATATAGCGAAGCACCACCAACTATCAAGGAAACTATTTGTTATTCATAGAATCCATAAATGTGTGGATTGTTCTGATATTCCGTTTTTTTTCCTGAGATATGATATTACTAAAGTTGACGAATATGAGCAGAGAGTGGGCCACAAAAGTCTGGACGCTAAAAAAAGATGTAGTCGGGATATCCTCGGCAGTCCGCGCGGGTTAATTACGTCAGCCGCGAGGTGGATATTTACCGGGTTAAGGGGGGGGGGTTGACAGATCACTTAGTAACTGCCGCATTACGGTGAAAGCGGCATCTCTCCAGCTGTTGCGGTTACGGGAGATTATAATCCGACGAACTTAATAGCAAAAACACGGAAAGTATCCGGGGTTTTGGAAAACCAACACCACACACATACATCTAAGATTATAAGCTTAGAATTATGGTATATTTGAATTCCTGTCACGGTTGTTTTGAACCCGCCCGTCGGATCAGTGAAATAAAAAGTTGAAAAACCGCCCGCGCTCATCAGACTCTCTGCTCTGCGCCGAAGCGGCAGCAAGATCCCGGGCGAGTCCACTTTTCCGGGGGTAGAAACGCGAGTCACGTGGGCCCACGGACCAAATGCCCATGGTTGGACTATTCCATTTTACACATGTTAACAAGGGTGTTTGGGTTGGTAACATGTTTAACGCTCGGGTCTGTACTATAGTCTCATAAAGAACATGCTTAAAAAGCTGAGGTCTGTATCTTTTTAGTCTGATAAAGAACATGTTTAAATTTTAGGGCTGTAACTTTAGTCTCATAAATAACACTTGTGTAAAGCTGAGGTCTGTATCTTTTAGTCTCAGAAATAACACATGTTTAAAGCTGGGGTCTGTAACTTAGTCTCATTAATAACGTTTAAAAGATGAGGTCTGTAACATTAGTCTCATTAATACATGTTAAAAGCTCCGGGTCTGTAACTTTAGTCTCATTAATAAAATGTTTAAAGCTGAGGTATGTAACTTTAGTCTCATTAATACATGGTTCAAAAGCTCGGTCTGTAACTGTAGTATCATAAATAAACAAAATGTTAAAAGCTGAGGTCTGTTAATTTTTATCTCATAATATCAATGTGTGTGTGGCAGATGCCAAAAACATTTCTAAAGCATCATATTTAGATTGCTTACCTTTCTTTTTGATATATTACATAGTATTTGAGAAAAAAATGTTTTCCGATTTCTTGTTGGCAGCCCATCTGATAAGCTTGCGGCCATATTGGAAATCGGGGTCGGCCAAATTGTAAAATGAATATAGAATTCAACATCCCTGAATTGTTTTCCACTCTTTACTGTAATTTTAATGTTATAGTTTGTAAAATAGGGAAGTTAACAGCACTTAGAAGATGACTAAAGGCTTAACTGGCTGAATAGAAGGTGCCACAGTAGCCCTTTGTTTTTAAAATAAACCAAATTACTTTCAATATAAGCGCCTAAAAGCACTTATCAATTGGGAATAACATCATAACCACCTTATCCGATTTTTCATAATTCAAAAACTGTTTTAATCCGCCTATAACTAGGCGGTAAGTACTGTGCTGGAATAAATCCGGATTTGGTAAATTAAAAAATTAATCTTGGCCTTGCTACTTTAATACTTACAGCCTGTGGTAAATACAACGGGGGCTAATTGGTACACCGTTCTTAGACTAATTAATCTTGTTAATGTGGTAACAGTCAGAAATAAAATTGAGTGAATATTCCCTTTTCCTCATTATGATTTGCGGAGAGAGGAGAGAGCAGCGAAGAAGTTTTGGCAGTTAAAAATAAAGAATTACGCTTTGCTAAATTATTTGAAAGCATCTTCATTATGATGTTATATTATGTATGTTAATATAAATGGCTAGAGATGCAAGGAGAAAAGGGCTCTGCTTTTTTTCTGATTGGGAGGAGAACAACCAGCGAGGAGCTGTTTGAGTCAAATAACGTTCAGCGTTTTATATTACCAATAGTTTTCTCTTTCCAAACGATACTTCCCTCCTCTTTTGGGAAAGATCAGCCAACGTGATGCAAAAGTTTACGTTATAATGCATAGTTTTTAATGTCTCGGGGTTTTTCCAGAGCCTGCCTGCTACAAGGAGTTGCCCGTTTTAACCAGATTGTCGATGTGCGCGGGCAGAAACTCGCCAGGTAACCCGAGCTCACAAGGAGTTCCTACCTGGTGGTTGTTTTGGTCCATTGCAAAGTCACTGGGGAGGGGGGAAATTAAAAGACGCGTGAAAGCAACACTGAGTCTCGTGTGATGCACCGTGAAAGGCACAAAACGGAATGGGACCTACTGTAACTGCTAATGTTACACATCACCGCGTTTTACAGCACGTAAACGCTTATACGCGCAGCAGCAGACGCGCGTAACTTATTTCCATGTTAACCTATGATGAGATTTGTACACTTCTAGCATCATAACGCATGTATGCGCGAAGCCCCCACTCCTGCGCTCTAATTTTAGGATGGATTTCTAATGTTTGGTGCCAGCCCAACGCTCTCCCAATTGAGAACTCATTAATACATGATTTTCTAGCGGGTCCTTGCTCAGATTGCATCTAGCCACACACAAAGCAACGTGATGTCTAAAACATCATCAGGTGGAGCACAGGTTTACAGTGATTCTGGATATCGTTTTTTTTCTTTCATAAAGTCTTGCGTCTGGCCAACCAGCGCACAACGACCATGAGGACAAACACATGCATGTTTATGTGTGTTGCTCTACCTCAGTCCTCTGGCCCTTACTGTCCTCTAGCACTGCTCCATAGACAACACAGGAGACAGTATGGCCAGAGGACTGATGTAGAGCAACTCACATATCCTGCATGAGTTGGTCTCAGGTCTTGGTGGCTCGGGGTTTGACAACGCAAGACTTTATGAAAGAAAAAAAACGATATCCAAAATCAAAGGAAAACCTGCTGGCTCCTCCAGCTGATGTTAGACACAAGTTGCTGTTGTGTGTGTAGATGCAATTAAGCCAAGGACCGCTATAAAAAATCCATGGTTTAACATGAGATCTCATGGGAGACGCTTGGTGGCGCACAAAATTCGAAATCCATCCTAAATAGAGCGCAGCTTCGCGTCCATCAATGCGTATGATGCTAAAGAAGTGTAAGAAATTTTTATTTATCCAATCATAGTTAACATGGAAAAAAGTTACCGCGCGTCTGCTGCGCGTATAACGCGTACGTGCTGTAACGCGTGATTGTAAATTAGCATTTACAGTAGGTCCCATTCCTGTTTTGTCGCCCTTTCACGCGTGAATCACACGAGACGCACGTGTGATTCACGCGGTCTTTTATTTTCCCCCCTCCCTAGACGTTGCAATGACCAAAACAACCACGAGGTGGCATTGTTGAGCAGGGTTACATTGGCGAGTTTCTGCCCCGCGCACAGCGACAATCAGGTTAAAACGGGCAACTCCCTTGTAGCAGGCCAGTCTCTGAAAACCGCAGACATTAAAACTACTGCTTATAACGTCAAACTTTTTGCATCACGTTGGTGGATCTTTCCAAAAAGAAGTATATCGTTATGGAAAGAGAAACTAGTGGTAATAATAACCTGGAACGTTATTTGCCTCAAACACTCCGCTGGTGTTCTCCTCCACTCAGAAAAAAAGCAGACGCCTATTCTCTGGCATCTCTAACATTTATAAGAAATAACATAAATATAACAATCATAATGAAGATTGCTTTCAAATACTTTAGCAAGCTGTAATTCATTTATTTTAACTGCCAAACTTCTCTCGCCAGCTCCTCTCCTCTCCTCCGCAAATTCACGAAATGAGGAAAAGGGAAATTCACTCAATCTAATTTTGAATGTTACACATACAATATTAATATAGTCTAAGCACGGTAACCACATGTAGCCCGTGTATTTCCACAGACTGTAAGTTATTAAAGTACAATGCAAGATTAATTTTTTAAATTCCAAATCAGATTAATTCAGCACAGTACTATCCACTCAGTAAGAGGAATAAAACAGTTTTTGAATTATGAAAATCGGATTAAGTGGTTATGATTTTATTACCATATTGAAAGTGCTTTTATGCGCTTATATGAAAGTAATTTGGTTTAAAACAAAGGGATACTGTGGAACCTCTATTCAGCCAGTTTCAAGCCTTTATTCATTTCTTCTAAAGTGCTGTAACTTCCTATTTTACTAACTAAAACATTACAATTCACAGTAAAGAAGTAAACAATTCCAGGTGATGTTGAATTCGATATGCAATTTTACAATTTGCCGACACGCCGACTTCCAAATGGGCCTGCCAGCTTATCCAAGATGCTGCCAACATGAAAAACCGGAAAACATTTTTTTTCAAAATACTAATGTAAAATATCAAAATAAAGGTAAGCAATCTAAATATGATCTTAGAAATGATTATGGGCATATGCACACACACAACGTGTTATTTATGAGACTAAAATTACAGACCGCACTGTTTAAACATGTGTTATTTATGAGAGTTAATGTGTTGTGTTGTAAAAGAGGTGTGGGGGGGTGTGTGTGGTGTTTGTTGTAAAAAAAAAAAAATTTGTTTAAATTTGAAAAAAAAGTTACAGACCCAGCCTTTGAAACATGTTATTAAGAGACTAAAGTTACATACCACAGCTTTAAACATTTTATTAAAGTGAGACTAAATTACAGACCCGAGCTTTAAACAATGTTATTAATGAGACTAAAGTTACAGACCTCAACTGTAAACGTTATTAATGTGACTAAAGTTACAGACACCCAGCTTTAAACAGTGTTATTTATGAGACAAAGTTACAGACCTCAGCTTTAAACATGTGTATGTATGAACTACAAGTTACAGACCTCAAACTTTAAACATGTTATTTATCATGACTAAAGTTATT